TTTCTTTCTTTCTTTCTTTCTTTCTTTCTTTCTTTCTTTCTTTCTTTCTTTCTTCCTTCCTTCCTTCCTTCCTTCCTTCCTTCCTTCCTTCCTTCCTTCCTTTCTTTCTTTCTTTCTTTTTGTTGGTTTGTTTCTCGAGATGGTTTTTCTGTGTAGTACTGGCTGTCCTGGAACTCATTCTATAGACCAGGCTGGTTTCAAACTCACAGAGATTTGCCTGCCTCTGCCTCCTGAGTGCTAGGATTAAGGCGTACACCACCACCACCTGGCTCTTCTCCCCTTTTCTTATAAAGATGCTGGCCATTGCATTCAGGGTCCACTCAAGACCATGTGACTGTATCTCACCTGGATGACTTTTACAGAGACTATTTCTAAATAAAGTGTTCACAGACATAGGAAGTTAGGACTTGAGCATGTCTTGGGACAGGGTGGGGGATGGGGCCATGGTAACTTGAGACCTTCTTGTGGGTGAGGTGTTGTGGAGCTCAAGTAAAGCTTCTGTAGCATTTTGGCCAGCAGACCAGCAAAGGATGCTGGGATAGCCTTGGAGCCTGTATTTCTAAGCAATGTGGCCAGTGTTCAGATGTGGTCACAAGACAATGTTGTTGGTCCAGGTTGTCAAGGCTTCATGGAGCATGTGCAACACCCGCCATTGTTCACTGTGCTCATCTCGGTTTCTCTCTTAGTGACCCACAGTCCTTGTGTCTTTTTGATAACAGCATCTTTTCCCAGGAATATATGGAGTTCTAGCATGGACCACCTCACATTTCCCTGGAGGGCTCTTTGAGAACTGTGAAGTCTAAGGCAGGCAGGACTTCCAGAGTCCACAGTGGTCTGTTAAAGCTATGCACTACTGCAACTGTAGGTATGTTTCCCAAATGCTGACTTACTTGGGTTATGTAGCCACAATCTCATGATGAGAATGCCCACAGGACCAAACGAGGCACTGGGTACATCAGACACAGTGGATTCAGTAGCTAAGATCCTATAAAGAAAACAGGATGGTTCCCCATGTCCCGTATTGCTCATGAGGCCTGTAGTCCTGAGAAAGGCTGGCTGATCTTTGGAGAGCCAGGCCTTCCCACATTAGAGTCTGTCCAACAGTTCCTTGCTGGAGGAGGCCACCAGTTTTCTCAAGCTGTAGCTTCATAATGACCTGGAAATGATTCCCCTCTCCACCTCTGGAGGCAGTGGCATGATCTCTGAGTTTAAAGCCAGTCTGGTCTACAGAGTGAGTTCCAGGACAGCCACGGCTACACAGAGAAGCCCTGTCTTGGGGAATGGGAGGAGAAAAAAAAAAGCTTTTCTCTAAACCTTAACCAAACAGCCTGTGTGTGACAAGAGTACATAGTAATTAATAATTGAATTAGTTTTTAAAAATTGTATGTGTCTGAATGTTTTGCCTGCCTGTGTGAACGTATGAATATATGTATGTATGCAGGTATGTATGTGTGTTTACTTCATACATTTCTGGTGCTCATGGGGTCAGAAGAGAGCATCAGATCTCTTGAAACTGAACTTACAGACATTTTTGAGCTGCTATGCAGGTGGTAGGATCATCTGCAGGAGCCACAGCTACTCTGAGCAGCTCAGCCCTTTCTGCTGCTCCTCAGCCTGTGTGTGGCGAGCTCACACATTCCTACTGTTGACTGGGAGGTAGATTTCCTAGTCTCTGCAAAGTTGTTTTGTTTTAGAAACCTGGTCTCACTGTGTAGCCCTAACTGGCCTGGAATTTGCTGTGTAGACCTACAAGCCTCCACCTCACAGAGAGTGTCTGTCCTTCCTGCCTTCGCCCCGAGTCCTGGGATTAAAGGTGTGTTCCACCGTGCCCTGTTCATTTGTCTCTGCAATTTAGCAGTACCGTCTAGGTGCTGGGCTTTCTCGCAGTCGGCTGTAGCAGTCCTATCTCCATTAAAAATTATGTTTGAGCCAGCTGTGGTGTCAGGCACTCATGGCCTATGGGGTTAGGTTGCTGAGGCAGGAGGTTACCAGACTGGGACACATCAACCTCAAAGAACAAAACAGGACAGCTGTGAGGGCACCACCGGGAAAAGTGCTTGCCATACAAGTCTGACAGCCTGTGTCTGACTCTGAACCCTCATCAAAAGCCAGATGTGGTGACACACATCTGTAATTCCAACAGTCCTACCATGGAGATGGGAGGCAGAGACAGGAGAATAGCCTAAAATTGCTGACCAGCTAGCCTGGAGGACGGAGTAAACAGCAGAAGACAGATCCTCAACTCAGCAAGGTGGAAGGAGAGAATTGACGGCCAAAAGTACTCCACACACATGTCACAACATGCATGTACACACACACACGTAATAAACATTAAAACACTCAGGGCTTGGGGTTGGGGCACAAGAATCATGAGTTCAAGGCTAGTCTAAGCTACATAGGGAGATTCAATCAGTCAAAACTTTCAAATTAGGAATGGGGGCAGAGGTTTGATCCTCAACCCACATACACACAAAAAGGATGAATGATTTTAGCTGGGTGGTGGTGTGTGTGTTTTAATCCCAGCACTCAGGAGGCAGAGGCAAGCAGACCTCTGAGTTTGAGACCAGCCTGGTCTACAAAAGCTAGTTCCAGGACAGGCTCCAAAGCTACAAAGAAACACTGACTCAAAAAGCAAAACAAACAAAACAAAGAATGAATGAATTCATAGTCAAAAAGATAATAGCCATCGACTGAGCGTTTAACAGAGATCAGATGCTGTTACAAGTATGTGTGTTTATTTCTAAAATATTTTAAAAGCATCTTTATGGTGTGGTGCTCAGGATTGAACCTGGGCCTTGCACAGTGGGGAGAAGTCATTCACACGCTTGATCAGGAGAGTTCTCCCCGGCTTTTCCATTAATGTGTTCACCAGAGGCAGGTGGGAGTCCTCAGTCTCCAAATCCTGCCAACATCTGGGTTTCTGAGCCATTCTGCTTTTTGCCAAACCCATATGTGAGGAAGGGTTCGCCAAGGCCACTTCAGGTTTGTTCCCTGGCTGCTAGGATTGTCTACGCTATAGCGCATTTTCATGCCCTTTTCTTTTCGGTTTGTATTATCCTTCATGTATTGAGACATTGTGTGTTTTCTGTATGTGCTAAATATTTGTTCAGTTCTATATGCAACTTTTAACTTTGCTTACAATGTTTTGAGGTCTACAGTTAAATGTATTGATTTTTCCTACATAATCTATGCTGTTTGAATCGTGCTTAAAACAGACAAACAAACAAACGAACAACTAACTCTCTATCCTGGGATTAAAAAGACATTTTCTCTCAAGCTGTAATGGTTTTTATCATTACATTTTGTGTGTGTGTGTATGTGTGTGCGCTCACGTGCTCCAGATAACATGTATGGAAGTCAGAGGACAACTTGCAGAAACTATTCTCTCCTACCATGTGGGGCTCAGGATTCGAACTCACTCAGATGTCAGGCTTGGGTAGTAGGCACATTTGCCAGCCGAGCCATCTTACTGGCCGTGTTTTTCTGTTATTTAAGTAAGACTTTTAACCATAATTCAAAGTTTATTTTGCTGAATCCATCAGCTTTGCAGCCTCAAGCCAGTGAGGGAAGACTGTTGGTGTCCACCAGTACTGTAGATGGAACAAGGCAGCCTTTCTGGTCCTTGAGCATCCAGAGCTTCCAGGTCTCTGTGTGCACGCTACCTACTTGCATGCTGTCCTCTTTCTGTGGTGAGAGTCTGTCCCCACATTCCTATGCCCTTCTGGGCCACTTCCTGATGGCACAGACCCCAGCATTACCAAAAAGGCAGGGAGAAGGCAGAAGTAGCGTTGGGGTAAACCAAGCAGAAGAGGGAAAGGAAGGAGGCTTACCACCCTGCTTCTACCCTGCCCTGCTCAGGACTCAGCAGCATTTCTGAGGTGTAGCCCTGTGTCTGTCACCACTGCGAGATTACAGTCCTCCTTGTTTTTCTTATTTGATTGATTCTTGGGGGTTGGAGATGGAGTCCGGGGACTCTTCCCATGCAAGCTGCTGCCTTGCCCCCTCCTCTTCTGGGCAGAACTCAGTTTGGAGTGAGTAAACACTGTGACTGGTTCCCCTTCCAGTGGGTAACAAGTCACCTAGGCAGGACCGACTTCTTTCCCAGCCCCGCAGCCCCGCAGTTACGGCAACTGAAACATGCCACTGTGGGTGAACCCAGCCACGCTTTCTCTAGATCAGATACTGGAGAGGGACCAGTAAAGAGACAGTACGGTGGCTCTCCTAACAAAGGCAGGTGAGAATCGAGGTTTCTAGTCCAAATGATGTCTCCAGGAATTCAGACACTGAAGTCTTTTGACCTCCGCCAATCACCTTGTAGTCTGACAGCTGACCAGACGCCATCATTTTTGGGCATGCGCATGTATCTGTGTGAGAGTGCGCGCATGTGTGGAGGAGGTCACATGATCTTAGGCGTCATTCCCAGGCACTGTCCACTCAAACATTTAAAAATGTAGCACGTGTGTGCATATGTGTATGTGTGTGCATATGTATGTGTACATGTATGTATGTGAGTACACTGTGTCATGTCACAAGTGTGGAGGTCAGAGGACAGTCTGAAGGAACTGGTTCTCTTTCCATCTTGCTGGTCCTGTGACTAGAACTCCGGTCATCAGGCTTGGCAGTAAGAACTTTTGCCTACTGAGCCATCTTGCTACCCACAGACATTTTTTTTT